GCTCGCTTAAAAGAATCATTTTTTTTACTTATCACATTATCACTAGTATGAATGTGCTTTTGTTGGCAATGTTATTAATGCTTCTTTTCTTTAATATCTATGCTTCGATAATCGAATAAAACTTACAAAATTTTATTTCGTGTAAAAGAACGAGAGTATCTGTGATGGAAATGTTTTTCAGCGACTTATATTTATGAAATATTGACTTAATTGTGTCGAGCCTATATGCAAATATTTTTATCACCATATGTTTAACAGGATGTTGACCCCCAAAAAAAAATTTCATTCAATTTATTTAGCTGAAATTGAAATTTGTGTGTGGGTTATGTGGCTACGTTGTTACGTAAATTCACAAAATTTTTCTATCACATTTTTTTTTGGTTTTATTAGAACCTGAATTTCCATTACTGATTTAAGTCATAAATTACACATATTTTTTTACTTTTCCATGATATGTTAAACTTTAGGAAATTTTTTATTAAGATATATTCTTTTTGATTTTGTGTAGTCGTTCTATCCATTTTCATTTCGGAAGTGAATTTAATGTTAAGCTGTCTTTTTCGATTCAATTTCTGCCAAAAAAAATGGCCAATGCTATCTGAAGAGGAAATATGCAAGCACAACAACCGCTCATCATTATGGATAGTTTCAGGGAATTCTGTATACGATGTGACAGCCTTTTTGAATTCCCATCCTGGAGGGGATGCCATCATTCTCCGCTGCGGCGGAGGAAGTAAAAATTGTGCAGAGGATTTCGCATTACATAGTCAATTTGCACAAAGACAATGGGAGCTACTAAAGATAGGAGAAATTTCGGGGTAAAGCACCACAAAAAAAATCAGTCTTCTACAGGAACAAATATTCAGCAAGTGAACCTCCAAAGGAAAAAGAGGCAGCGTTATGTTAACTTCTGTTGAGTTTAGCCTTGTCAGGTGTAGTTTGCGTATATCCCATGGCTTATGGAACCAAAAAGTTGCTGTTAGCATAGCCATTAAAATAAGAAACATACAAACGGAAGATTCAATAAAAACGATAAAGTTTGTATTTTGGAATACTTCAACTTTGCTTTCGATTCAAAGCCAAAAATATATTTCCCATTTATGGATTATAAACTATTCTTGCAAGCATTCGTTTTTTTTTTCCATATCCAACAGAAAACCATACATGTTAAGCACTTTAGTATTCGTAATAGCAAGAGAGGTTCATCAACTAAGAGAGGAAGGGTCGAAAAAATACCAACCTTTTTACTATTATACGAATTTTGCTTATATGTAGTTGCCATATTCAAGCCTCAGCTAATTTTTCTATTAAAGTCATCAATAACAACTCTTTGAACAACTGTATTTCAATATTCATAAGGCCATTAAGGGAAGACTATATATCTATTAATAAAACTTTATGCATCTATTAATTTCGATGTCTCAATTGTCATATGTCCTTTGAAATTAATCTTCAGTTCATCTCCTTCACTAATATGTCTTTTTTTCCGTCTTTTCGGTGTGATTGCGATGCACCAAAGAGTTTTTCATGGGATATATTTCGAGGCCCCTGGGTTTAATCGGCTTTGTGTGCTGGAAGTCCCATGAATATCGGTTACCGCTAAAGGTGTTACCCTCCAGCTTCCCTTTCGCAACCACCACCACCTTGTTGAGCCTGACAGGCTTCTCGCGGCCGGCAGGAAGACGTATTCGCTGAGAACCTTATCTAAGGGCCCGTATTCCAAACCGAGTAAGGGGGGGAGGGGGTCGTCTCCAAAACTTAAAACGGTCTGTTGGAGGGCCGTGTTTAGGGTAGGGTTGGACATGCATTGTTACAGCCCATGTTGAATCGAGTCTCATTATTGGTGTGAAGTGGCTCAAAAGGGAAAAAACAAGGGATAGTGCACCTTTGTCGGCTGGGTGTGGTATGGGATTTGCCGAACGAGTACCCCGAGAACTACCGCGATCCTTCTTAAGAGTCTGTTGCCATGTCAGGAGGGTTGATCCAGGCTATGAAAAGCCTACCGGGGGATGAACTAAGTCTGAGGCTTCTGGCCATTATCCCAAGGAGCTGCCATGAGGCTTTGGGAGTCCTGTGAGAAAAGTATCCACTACCATGTACAGACGCCCTGCTCAGAAAGCTACCGGGTGCACCACTATGTCCTCTCACGGGGTAACTAACACGACGTCTTGAATGACATTGGTATTTTATCCTGATAAACTCCTCTTGCACAGCGCGTTAACATTTCTGAAAGAAGATCTAGAGCTGATGAAGCGGCGCAGCGGCCCTGCGCCTCCAACTTGTACACTGTGCTGTTTAGAATTCCCTTCTTGCGATCCCTGGCGAGCGGTACCAATCCTAATACCTTTTTAAGGTGCAGATAAAACACCTCATGATCGTCTAGTGCCTTTTTTTTCTATGTGGTTGTGGTCGACACGCCCCTACCAAACGGTGCCATTCCTATCTTGAATGAACTGGACAACGACGCCAACCTTTTTGGGAAATGTGTATTCACCACATCCCCATCGAACATTGTCAGAACTTATCTTAGTGGAAAAGCCGTTTATGAAACATGAATTTTCAATGGTTTAAGATTGACAGCTACAATTGTCGAATAATGACAATAAAAAGGAGAAGAATATGGCTCGAAATAATTGATTCAACAAAGTAGGTGTATTCCATGATTTAGAAAGTACTGCTGATAGTAATCAAACTAAAAGAATGTATGTCAAGGCGATGCCTTTGGTTAACTAAGTATCACTCTTATTTGAATCCTATTATTTTTCCTATATCTTTTATGATAAAATAGTTTCATCAACATTGCATCATAAATAGGTAGTGAATTTAGAAGATGGAGGAGCCTAAACAAACGCTGTACATTCGAGGTCTTCCTGATAAAGTATCCGCAAACGAGGTGCGGCGATTGCTGTACCTTCACTGTACCCAGTACGGCCCTGTGCAAGAGGTTTTATATAAAAAAACTAGACACTTATACGGCCAAGCGTTCGTAGTATTTACAGACGTGGCTACGGCGACCACCGCACGCCGTTCACTACATGACCGTTTGTTTTATAGTCGAAAGATTCAGGTCTTTTATTCTCATAAGCAATCATTCTCTGTGGATCCAGAAGAACGGCGAAAACGAGATGTTCTGAAAGAAAAACGCGTCATGCAGCGCTTGAATGAAGCTCGAAGATCGCCTAGATAGGAGATGATCGGCTGTTTGTTGAAGAAAATATCTTGGAATAAACACATTAATCTTTACACCTTCTTCTTCAAGATTTAGAGGTAAATTCAGTACAATAAGGTATTGCAGAATTTTACATTAATGTACATGGGCACCCAAATAAGTCTTTTCACTTCCAAATCTCTGTTTAATTATGCGCACAGTTGGGGCATCCCCGAAAAAAACAAAGTATATATATACCGATATAAAAAAAAATACGTTTCTATTTAAATATAAAAAGATTGATTATAATATTCCAACGATGTCGGACTTACCTCAAGGACCCCTGCCGGTTGATTGCGAAGAATCCGTCTTTAACATTATCCGTGATGTCGGTGTTAGTGTACTCACCTTGTCGGTCCTACGCAAGCGCCTTGCGGCGAAGTATAAGATCGACTTTTCTCCCCACGACTCCGCCGTAGAGGCTGCCGTCCAGAATTATCTGAGCTCGCCTGAAGGTCTGAAAGAGCTGGCGAAGGTACGGTTGGCGAAAGCGGAAGGGCCTGTGGGTGGGAAGGGGAAGAAGCGCGCTCGCTCGCCGAAGGAGAGCGGCAAGGAATCTAAAAAAGAGAAGAATGGAAAATCTAAAAAGGTTAAAAAGCCTGACGATTACCCCAAAGCAGCTTTGTCCGCGTACTTCATCTTCGGCAATCAGCAAAGGGAGAAAATCAAGATGGAAAATGTTAATATGGTGAATACTGAAATTATCAAGGAAGTGGGCCGCCGCTGGGCTGACCTCTCCGAAGAGGAAAAGGGGAACTATAAAAAGCTTGCGGAAGCTGATAAGGCGCGTTTTGACACTGAACTGAAGGCCTACATCGCCGATGGGGGCCAGATGTACAAGCGTGGCAAAAAAGACGGAAAGAGTTCAAAAGGAGAATCTAAAGGCCCCAAACGCCCCTCAACATCCTTTATTTTCTTTTCAAAAGACTTTCGAATTGATCACCCAGAGCTGAGCATGATCGAGCAAACAAGGCAGGCTGGGATGGAATGGAAAAAGCTGAGTGATGAAGATAAAAAGCCATTTGAGCTGAAGGCGGCGCAGGACAAGGAGCGATACAATCTTGAATGTCAACAACAAGGATTAAAGACAAAATCTTCTAATGCTTCAAACGCAGCGGTGATGGTGGACGACACTGCTAGCTCCTCTGACGACAGCTCAAGCTCTGGTAGTGATGGTGACTAGATAAAACCAGATCGGCATTCTTTTTTATTCTCCTTTTTTTCTAGACTCAGAAGCATGGTACGGCTGAGTGAACAAACGCAAAAATAAATGATAAAAAAAGAGGGAAAAAACCCCTCATCTAGACTATTCCTCTACTAGTGAATAAAAGTTGTCCTCTACTGCGTTTTTTTTTCAGATATTTATATTTCAGCTTTTTGATGGCAATATTATTCATTTTCATAGAATATTGGTCGGTAAGTGTTACCTGTAAGGCTCTTAATTTGTGTTTGTTTTCTCTCTATATATATAGCAAAGGATCTTTTCAATACATTTTGTAAGCGAAAAAGTGGCAACAAATGTATTGTTCTTCTTAACTCAGTTGAGCCCTTTTAAATATCCCCCAATCGGAAAAGGGAAGAGTGTAGGAGGAGAGTTTAATCTTAAAAAGCCTTTAGATAGTGTATCATTTTAAGCATAACTACCAAACAACTGGTTTTGTGAGATTGACATACTTTTCATCTTTTTTTAGTTATTAATTTTCCAGAGTGACAATTATGCATATGATTTTTACTCTGCCAAAAAGCAAAACCCAGAATTTACCTCTGCTGAATTTGCTCCATACAGAAAATAACGGTTTATTATTTTTACAATCCGACGCGACACTATAAAAAAAATAATAATTCATTCTGTGTTATAAAGAATATCGAGCATGCTGTTATCTATAAAGTATTCATGCATAAATAGACGCCTATTTATTTCACAAAAAGAGCTATCATTACGATACTAGAATGGAAGATGTAGCTAGGGTAGGTTCTGGTAAAGTTAACCCTGTGGCTGCTTGCCAGACTAAATGAATTATATTTCTCTCTTGGTAACTAGAACTGGTCAATTTCCCTCTTTCCAGTCTCTGATCATAGATTCATACACTATCGTTCATTAAATATAGCAAGACAAGACTCCAGTCTTTCTACAAAGGATTTAGTCTTGTTCATTCAAAAAATTGTTCATTGCAAGCATTCTTTAAGGGTAAATAGTCATGTCCAAACGCATTCAGCCGAATGATTTTCATGGGGCTAGTGCTCATTATTATACGGAGAAATGTGTTGAGGATCTTATCAATGGTGAAAAATTTAAGGCGTACGTGCGACATGTCGAATATAACGGACGCTTGTATGTGACTTGGTTTATTGTCCTTTTGGGGCTCATATTTACAATATGCCACCATCTTTACTTTTTCGGCCCCGACTACTTTCTTAATCCACTGGATACGGCATCTTTGACGCAGTTGGAGAACCACGCTGTCCTTTTTCCTACCTTACAGTACGTGACTTTCTTTATGGTCTTTTACCTGCTTCCGTGCGCGATCATTGCTCCCTTTGTGGGGTTTTTCGAGCTCCCGACCGCCTTCAGCAGCTTGATGACTTACGTCATCCTAACCCTTTTGAACTGTGTGGTGGTCCTCTTTGGCGGCCCGTGGAGCCATCACCCACCGTTTTTGATCTCGGAGCCGGCGCTGTCGTGGCATCTGCCGCTCGCGCGTGATCAGGCTTGGATGGAGGTCCTTAAATACATTCTTATCCGGGCCGCCCCACTTCAGGGATTCCTCACCGCCGGTTATGTCGTCGCGCAATGGCGTCGAACGTTTTGGGTGCGCCTATGGCATATCCCGTTTCCGTTGATCCTTATTCCTCTTTTGGTTGGTATTTTCGGCGTGCTTCAGTGGCAATTCACTATGCTGCTGAAATCCTATCTTTTAGACTCCAAGGGTCAACCAACGCATGTGAGCACGTACCTCTGGGGCTCCGCTATCTCCGATCCACAGGGGGTGAGTTCTCTTTGGGTCGATATGGTAAAGGAAGTGGGGCACACAATGATGCGGGATATACAAGAGCACATACTTGCTGGTAAACTCCCAGCATGTTTGAATGACTCGATCTCATATTTGCACCTGTACCTAGCTACCCTTTTGATGACGCTGACGTATTTTATTACTATGTTAATAAAGCCTTTATTGGCCCGTCTGATCAATGTCATTCTATTATTATTTCCCACACATCCCACTACATGGGGAATTGCTTTACTTGCTTCTTTTGCATCCCTTACGTTTCTTCTGCGTATGGATGAGGTTCCAATTCTTTTCTTGGTGGGTGTTATTCACTTTATCGCTGGACTTTTATATAACGGTTTTGTAGCTTGAGTGTGAGGCGATAAAACGCCACAGTTGGTGAAAATGAAACAGAGGAGGATTAAAAAATATATAAAAAATCAATATTTGGAAAAGTAGTTGCCTAGATATTAGATTTTAGAAAAACTTGAAGTTGAATGCACCATACGCAACAGATGGAATAATTTAAGCTACTAGTTTTTATTGTTTTACCCTTTTCATTATTATTCATTACAAAAGATCACTCCTGAAACTTTTATGTTACTCCAAACGAGTGTATGATGAATCTTTTCAAGAACAATATTTTTTTTCATTTTCTCATTCCCATCCCTTGAAAAGGGTCCCACTACAGGAACTTTCCTTAACTTATAGTACTGCCAACGAAAACCAAAGAAAATAAGCACCTTCGCCGGACTCAACTCCTTATCACAAACTATCTATATTGTATAGTAAGAGAAGTACATGTTGGATACTAAACAACCCGATACAGCGGATATCATTAGTTTGGAGAAAGCTGAGATTGGTGATGCGGGAGAAAAAAAGACTGATAGCACGGCAACAATTCCAACCCTAACAGCAGATCTACCCGAAGTAGTCGATCAAGCCTCCTCAAACGCCGAACTTGACCTCAGCAAAAGTGATGCCTGTAGTGGCGACAATAGCAGCAATGACCATAACGCGGGCGATGTGGATGACGAACAAGGTTCTGACCCGGAGGATGAAGCGACTGACACGGACGACGACGACTTCGGCGCCGCCGAGGTGTTCCCCTCCCCCCGCAACCCCAAGGACGCGGGCCGGGCGCTGGTGATCAAGAACAGGCCCTACCCCCCCTCCAGCTGGGTCCATAACCAGGGCTATACGGCGGCCCAGGGCCGGCTTGCTGGGAACCCCAAGGCGAGTTTCGGCCTCTGTGCGGTGGCACGGCCGCACAACATCCTCCGCTGTGGGGCGTTGCACCTGAACAACCGGGGCATCCTGATTGGGGATCGCTATGTGCGGCTGCACATGCTTCGCGACGGGGCCGGGAAGACGGCGCTTTTGGAGAATCCCGGCCGGGCTTTGAAGATGGAGTGCTGCCAGGAAGGCCACGAAGATGCCGCTACGACGACCTGCACGAAGCTTCATCTCGTCCCCAACCTCGTGTTTATTGGAGTTCCGGGCCTACGGACGGCCTACTACGAGAACGAGCTCCATCAAAACTTGGCGTTCACTAGACTTAAACAGCAGTCGTTGGAGGTACAGTGTGGGGCGTGGTGTCGGACAAAACGCTCGCACGTTATTACCACCTGTCCTTTTCTTCATTATCAACGAGGGAGTGCGTACACTGAGAAGCCAAAGCCGCCCTCACGCCCTCTCGCTCTCATTCCCGACCTTACGCCAAAATATCCCACAAAGGCAACAATCACCGCGAAGTCTCTCGAATATGGCATTCCGTTACCAGTGATCGCTGGGAAAGATGACAGCCATAAAAAAACAAAGAAGCATCGAGGCCGCGGCGGCAATTACCCCATCCCACTTCCCGAATTTGTTCGTGGTCATCGTCGGAATAATAAGGATGGCGTTAGTCCACCAACTGTTGAAAATTATCAACCCAATCCCCTGGTTCACACGACAAAGACGGATCCTGTGAGCGAACTTCACGACACGCAAGCATATCTCGAAGAAAATAAAGAGATACAGGAAAATAGGAGTAGTCTCTTAATGATGTTGCTTATTTTGTTGGTTATACTCTTCCTATTGTTGGTCTATACAGTCAAGAAACCCTTTGATCTGTAACGATTTATCGATGCTTATTGATAGAAATGCTGATGGTAACTCGTTTGATTTTCTGTGATCAAAATTGGGATTTTGTCTCTAAAAACATTTGCGACTTTCTAAAGCAAAATAAATTATAGTAATAATTCTTAAAATATTTATTGTTAGCGTGTAATCATTACTAAAGGATATTTAGACATACAGATGATAGTAGTTTGATTCCTCACTTTGTTCACTCATCTTGTTTTGAAAGGAGTATGTAATATGTCATCAACATTTCTTGATTTTATCTTTTATTTGGTCTTGTTAGTTTATTAAGACTACTCTTCTTTTTTTTTTGTCTAAATCATAAATTATCATAGGCAGACTTGGCTTCTGACTGTTCATCTTTACCGTTTATTCAGCAAAGCGTGGCAGGTTTGGATATGTGAGACGGTAGCAATTATGTCCATAAGACATTGTTTACCTTATATTGATATTTTAACCTGATAAAAGAACCCAATTCCAGAGATTACCATCGTATGCAAGTATTGAGCTCACTACGCGATTGCCGAAGTAACTAACACTACCGCTTTCTATCCTATACTTGGAATTTTGGTACTATGAATGACATTAAAAAATAAGAATACAACATTCAAAAATGATATACTATATAATTTCCGCATTCAAAAATATTATGGCCAAAACCGAACTGATCTGTGTGTTTAGGTGAGACTAAATACTGGTAGGCAGGTCCATTTTGGACACGTTCCTATGAATTAGTTTTATATATCACAATACTCTTAAGGTATATTTGAAAATTTCTCACAATAACAAATGTTGATTCTCCGAAATCAGCCCCAATGGTACCAATCTTTGTCCTTTTCCTTCATTTTTATATTTACATTCCCTTATTGTCCTTTTTTCCTTTATAAATCCTGTCATAACCCACACACCTGTAGAAGTTATCAAAAGACAACCCAAACAGGGTTCGAGAGGGTAAATGTCGAACGCATTCTATGCCTCAGGAATGGTTCCGGGGTCGGTGGGGTGGGGTGGGGGCACTCCGTATCTTCGCAAGGGCCTCGTAGGCCTTCTCGTGACCTTCACCATGGTAGTGTTCATCTGGCGAGGACTTTCCCGCTCCTACTTCAATCGAAGACGTCAAACCAAAGACACACCCGACAAGGGGATCCACGAGAATTCCCAAGACGTAGAGGAAGATAATCTCTTCACCTTTGCTGGTCCACCGCGGCTGTTCGCGTCAAGGTCGGAAGACTTTCACGGGGAAAATTCCCCGCCGCGGCCTTCCGCGGCGTTGGAAGGCCGCGAAGCGTGCACGGCAAGCGTCCCTTTGGATGCGAAAGTGCGGACGAATGATATCATCGCACGCGAGAAGAAATTAAACCTTGCGCGTGCTTTACTTCGCCGCGTCGAGGGTGTTGAATACGAGGAAACTAGCGACGATGAGACCCCATCGGACGAGACGGATGTTTCTCTAAACTACTACACCGCGACGGAGTTGGAGTTAAAATCACGCGATGAATTGATGGAAGCTTTTTCCTACTATCAAAATATACAACAGAACTCTGTTGAATCTGCTGTCGAGAAAGATGGACAGGCGGCATTCAACGATATGGGCATCGTCCTCGCCAAGATTGTAGAGTACCTGGATATTTCAAACGAACGTGAGAAGCTGCGCGTTCGGCGCGAAGCGAAGCGATATGACGATAGAACGAAAGCGTTTGAAGGACTTCATTCTTTCTCCGACGACAAGCTACCCCAGTTATCCGAAGCGCTTCCAGACCCTGGGTTGCATGCACGCGATAGCTGGCTAAGCCCCGCTCCGGACGCCATTCCTTCCGCTTTAAACCAACTTAATATGTTAGATCGCATGCTGGAAGAGCGAGACACCGACGAGGAGGCGTTTGAGGAAAATTGGAGCAATGGGGACAAAGAAGCGGAGGCTTTTATGGAATATCTCCAGCAAGACGATGCGGCTCTAAAATTCTTTACGCGCGAAGAGGTACGCCGTAATCGTCAAAACCGTCTTCGTCCAGCCTCCCAGAACTGCATCGACGATGATGTGCATGTGGTGGCCTCTGATGGTCAAAACTTTAATGATGTCCTCGCTGCGATAAGCGGGGAAAAGGTGTCAGAAACGGACGATGACTTCAATTATGATTTGTACGACGAGGATATCCCCGTCGAAGAGAAGGAGGAGCCAACGAATTCATGGAGCAATAGTGAAAAGGCTGAATTCGAGGCCAACCTATCTCACTACTTACACAGCTTATCAGAGGCCATGGGAGTGACCGGGCTGCTAGTCGAGCGAGAGGCACTCCAATTTGATGCCGAGAATGAGCGCCGACGTGAAGCTCGAAGGCAATTGACTACAAAACAAGTTAAAAGAAAACCTTTAAATAATCAAAGGGGTAACGATAACAGTGAGGATGAGTGGGAGGACACTGATGATGACAACTGATGGTCCACTATTTAACGACAAGCAGTATGGTTCGAATCAAATTATCGAACGGTGTAGATAACAGAGGGTCAGTGACCGTGTATATACAACAATGTGCAAGCATAATTTCGATTAATGTGAGTATGTACATGAAATGTATCATTGCCCAGATGAAAGAGATAACAGGAGGGAGTGATCAAAGAGGCACAATTTCTGTTTTTTCTTCCTTTTACTCTTGCTAGGTACAAACTGAGTTCTTAATCTTCCCATAAACTTTTTATATACATATATATGTATATGTTAAGACTAAGAACATGTTTAATTTTACCGTGTTGAATTTTATTAATTACAGAATTCGTATCTGCATTTCTGACTTCACGTTCTTATCTGTGAAACCCTTCGCTTTAAAGGTGATACCGCGATCTCTTTCTCCCATTCAATTTTTTTTCAAGTGTGACCTTTTTTTTTCACTATTTTAGGTGGTGTTTATCAATAACCTACACGAAGAACCACATTAACCATACAAATTTTATGTTTAAAGGGACTAACATTCCTTTTAGCATCACCACCTTTTTTCCTAACTGTGGTTTGTGTTTCAATTTGCCCCTTTTAGCTGTACCATCCTAATTTCTAACCAATATATCTGTATCTATCATTCACAACGATCCACATAAAAATCCACATCCCTTGTGTCCTATCTTCGTGCGGTCCTGATGTTAGATTCTTCCGAGGATATATACACCGAGTATCTTCTCAAGATGGCACGCGACGTGGATGATAAGGTGGTGCGGCACACCCTCTACCGCATGGGCTATTCCACCTCCAGCGTGGAGAGTATGCTGGGACAGGCCCCCATTGCAAGGGGGCACCGTCGGCACCCCTCCTCCCCAAGCCTCGCGTCATCCACCTCACGGATGGGGAGGGGGTTGGGGTCCCCGCAT